AACACATGTGAGCCACTGCCTGGAAATAGCTGGGAGTGGGTGGGGCGGACTTTCAAGGAGAGCAGGCTAGAGGTCTTGTGTTAGTTGAAGTCCTCCAGGAAACAGACACCCAGATAGGATTAGATGTGGAAGGGACTGATTGAGGGCAATGCCTGTGAAGGAAAAAAGGGAGGAGCCAGCGAAGGAGGGGAGAGCCTTCAGACCATGTTGCATGTCTGACCCCTGTGAAGGAGGAGTAAGTAGGAAGAGGCTCAGGCTGCAGGCCAGTTCTCAGAAGACTTCAGCCAGGCTGATAAAGAGAACTTGAGCCAACATCTCCCAGTTGAGGAGTCCCTGTCCCGCCATGCTCAGGAACTCCATCATGCTTAGTCATTGGTCAGGAACAGTCCACGGGAAACACGTCTGTAGCACGTACGTGACCAGTGATCCAGAGGGGCAGCAGTTGGAGCTGTCAAACAATCATTCTCTCACGGCAGGAGAACTAAGCAGCTCATCTTCACGGCCACCACCACCCCTTCTAGCAAAGGGCCAGCACAGAGAAATATCACTTGTTATAGTCTGTGAAGCCACATCTTCAACCTCAGGCCTGTATGATCTACATGGAGAAACTCGGATTGCAAATGGTTACAAACTTTAAAACTCTTTGGAGCTTAAAAAGTTATACTCTTAGTTCTCTAAACTCCTTTATCCAGAACTATGACCTTATTCCCTCACAATGCCTATTAAGTGAGGCATATCTGTAGTAGATAATATTAGAAAGCATCAGAGAAGTTCTGGAATTACTAACAATTTGTGCAGAAATGATCAGAATGAGATTTTCTAGCCTCAATATCAAAAGATACTAGATTGTCTGCATTTCTCTAAATGTACATATGGTTGACTAGAGTGATAAAGGCAAGCATGTGTGAAGGAACTGAGGTAAGAGAGGAAACAGCCAACATCCCTTACTCCAGCTGCTCAGAAATACTCCAGCTACTCAGCTGTCTAAGGAATAGAAAAGCTGCTCTGCATGTCTGGGACGTCAGAACACTGGTGAGGATAAGCGTTTAAGGGACTGAAAACCTGAGCCAATATGCATTTGCAATGATGTCATTTGTCAAGACTGTCAGTTCAAGAATTATTTGTTCAACTGCTTCAGGTGCTTCAGGAGGATCAGGCTGAGCTTGCTTACCGACACACCATGCCTAGGGGTACCCCTGAAAAGTGCAAGAGGTAAATATAGGACAAGGAAAAAGAAGCGAACAGATGGTGGCAACTTACCGAACTTGTTATGTCAAGAGGAAATGAAAACCAAAAACATAAATAGCATCATTATTAAAAAGTTTAGATAAGTTCATGCATGACAAATCACTAGCTGTGATTTGGTGGTGCCTTTCCTTGGTCTTTTGGGGGTAACATCAGAGAGATTGTCCTGTTTGTCCCGGAACAGTATCTACTGCAGCTTCTGTGAAAGCGAGATTTCTGGCCCAGATGTACAATGGTTCTAATTTAATTATTCTCAAGTGAACAAATGAATGTGAGGAAATTCTAAGGCAGCTGTTAACTTTTGTGGGTGCACTAAGCTTAGAACATCACACTTCTGTTGGCACTGCAGGGCTTTTCAACCAAGAAGACAGTTTCACGGGCACCACGCAGACATCCTCATCAACTTAACTCTAGAGGCCCCTGGAGCACATCTAGTTTGTGAATTCCCTCTCATGCAAGGTGTTGAACCAAAAGCTGGAGTCTCTGAAAGAACAGAGGTTGTTGAAACCCTTTTCAAACAAACAATCCCAACCCATAGAAATGGAGCAGCTCTAGTTGAAGGAATGGTTGTAGAAGCTTGGAGAATGGGTGCAGGCAGCAGGTGACCTGTGCCCATCCTCCTTCTCTGTCTCCAATGAAGTCCCTGAGACCCCTCTTCAAGGCATGATTTGAGAACCACCGTGGCAAAGGAGATCACTGTATTTAGAGCTGGACTGGATGATCAGTGACACCTATCCAGGCCTAGGATTGCGTGTTTGACTGGATGACTGCAGAATGCCACACCACATATGGCAATCAGAGCCCTCTGGTGAATGTGGATGGACTTTTCTAAAAGGCAGCATGGTGACCTGGACAGAACATGAGCTTTGGCGTCAGAAGACCTGGCTCCCAGTCTTGACTCTGATGCTCACTAGCTTTGTGATTTTGGCAAATAATTACTCCAAATCTTACTTTCCTCTCCTTTACAATGGGGAGAATAACATCTTCCTCAACAAACCATAAGGAAGGTGAAGTCAGATGCCTATGTTGTCTCTGCTGAGATGAGACAGTCCTGCTCACACAAACATTCTCCAGGAGCTCTTGTCTGGTTTTCTGATATCCTTTTGTACCTTGATTCCTGACATTCCCCTCAGGGCTCCTATTTTAGCCACCTACTTTGTACACACCACTGCAGCCAAATATCAGTGTTTCTTGCGACACAATCCTGATATTCACCCTTTGATTCAACCTACCACAACCATGAGTAAAAGTCATCTGGGCACCCATCAGACTGGCCTTGCAGGACTCTGGCTTCTGGAGAGGAGACTTCACGCTCCATGCTACGTCTCCCAGTCCAATTCACGCAGCCCAGTCCCTCACTACAAATAAGCATCTGTCCTGACCACAAGCAACTAGGGACAATGTTTAGGTCCACAGAGGATGGCATGCACAGAGAAGACCAAACATTAGCCAGGACCCAAGGGTAGGAAGACAGGTTAGGCTCACCCCAAATGAGTCCTGGCTGCATAGAACAATCTTCTGAAGGCACCAAGGAAAATCCACTCCAGCCATGAGCATGGAAGGCAACAAGAGCTACAAGGAAGAAGGAATGGCGGCCTGAGAGTCAGGAGACCTGGGCTCCTGTCTTGGCTGGGCTAGAATCCAACTATCACCATACTTCTTGACTTCCTCGTCAGTAAAATGAAAAGGTTGGAGAAAGTGATGCCACGGATCCCATAGGTTCATAGGAAAGGACCTATGAATACAGGGCTTGAGTTACATGCGTTATTTATTCCCCAGTGGCCCATCCATATGGGCACATGGGAAAGCAGAACAGAAACCAAACCTTCTAATCTGGTTTATTTGGGTGAAGAGACCCTCAGTTCTTAAGAAACTGAGCGGAAGCAACACCTTGGCCTTAGCACAATGTATGCTAAACGATACACCACTGATATCTATAACACATGTTCTTGTAATTCCTGATCTCAGAAGATAGCCTCCCTTCTGTTCATTGTGAAGGAGTTAGCAGAAGTGAAAGGATGTGGGTAGCGAGTAATAGGAAAAGCAGGTTTGTCAAGCCCCATCACTGTGGAAGCGGTAATTTAATCTGGGGAATATCAGATAAGCAAACCAATCTGTTAATGGTAGGAAACGAGTCCAGAGCTGCCAACTGAGAATAGAGATTGGGCCAGATATTAAAGAGCGCTCTCCTCTCCAGAGGCCACTGTTCCTATCTTCTTGCTGATAAAGAGGAGGAGACAGATGTTTACATTTTACTTGGAACACGAAGTGGTATTGTAGCCACATGTTCCAAATGTTGAGAAGCCTGACAGCAAACAAGAATCACAGAATTTGGCAGAAAGGAGGTGGGAAAACAAGAAGCAAGAATCCCAGTGATTTCGAAGGTGAAAATCGAAGGCGCCAGAACACATGCTGCCTTCTGGGCTCAACATGGCAGACTTCAGGCAAAAGGAGATCCCAGGCCAGTGGGAAAGGCCCACTGGGATCAGCCTCCGCCATCTTCCCTGAGCCTGCGCCCCGTCTCTCCAGTTTATGGGAGGAATTGCGGGACAACCCAAACCCACTTTACCACCGTTTGATCAAATCATTTGTCTGAAAATTCTTTATCTTCAGCATGCCAAGTATGCATTTTATATCAGGTTTACTGTGTTTCAGCCTGTCTTCAGAATATTTTTTGATATTAGGGAACCAATGAATAATAATGATGATAAAAATAATAATAGCTAGGTGCGGGAAACTCTCCTAAGCACTTTGAGTCTATTTTCTCACTAAATGCTCACAATAGCCCCTTGAGGTAAGTACTATGCTTATCGCTATTTTATATATAAGAAAACTAAAGCTCGAAGAGTTGAAGTAATGTGCTCATGGTCACAAGTCTACTCAGCGGTGACGCTGGAACTCCAGCCCAGAACTATTTGCACCCAAATCCGTGTTCTTAGTTGGTATGCTATACACTGCAGCCAACAGCAAGCGGGGCATTTAAGAGCATTGACTAATGCTCAGCTCTCTCAAGAACTTTCCATTGATAGTCTCGTTTAAATACTCACAGCAGCTCCCATGTAGGTACTACTATTATCATTCTTTTATTATTATTGTTGTTGTTGTTGTTGTTATTACAGAAGAAGAGAGTCTGGCTTGAGAGGTTCAGGAACTTGCCCAAGGTTACCTGGGAATTCAAGCAGTAGATTTTGGATGCAACCCCAGGCAGCCTCTCTGGCAAGCTCAAGCCACTAACCACTGAGATAAACTTGGAGAGTACCCTTCCGACTCTCACTGACCCAGCGGTACACATACTGTGTGTCGCCAATAATCTGAATTTCCAGGGTAAATCTTATCTGTTCAGCAAGTTCAGTTTTATATTTTAACTGCTTAGGAACCTTCCTGCAGAAGGATTGTTTGGCACCTGGTTGATCACCAACAGTATAGATCTTGGGGCACAACGGTACAGATCTCTCCTCTGTTTGTGCTTGGGCTAGAATTGCGCGCCACCAGTAATTTCCCAGGAAAGGGCAGTCCTCCTGTGTGAAAGGAAGGATGATGAGCTTTACCCCCCACACATGGAACTTTGTCTAATCCTCCCTAAAATCAATCTGTGGCCATCTCCACACTTATTTTGCTCCTGTTTACTATCCTGCTGGGACCTGAGCCCTGTCGCTAGGAAGGGCCAAGCTCTCAGAACAATGCTGGCTGTTCTAAGTGGAGTCTCTGTGTCACAGAGGGCTTGGAATTTTCCAACTCTAGACCTCCATTTGAGGGAAAGTCCTGAACTGTTCCAGGCTTCTTTCCCCAGTCACAGCAGTGCCTCACCCCTTCCAGACCTCCTACAGCTTTGAAAAGGCCTACCAAAGCATCTGTAATGTCCACCTCCATTTCCTGCAGCGGGTCTGGATGTGAGTTTCCTGGAGTCTTATCAGCATGAAGAATCTTGAGCCATTTCTGATGTGGTCTGCCTGCTTCCCAAATCCTCTTCATCAATCCAACGTAATCTGATTCCAAATTAAGAAATTATCAGTTCTTCTGTACAAATGGACGTAGGGTGCTCCAAGTGTTTCATAATTTCTTTGTCTTTAACTCTTGTATAACACATTATCCTTTGCCATTTGAGGAAGAAATGACTTTTACATCCCTACTCTTCTGTTTATTGTTAAATTGTTTTTGTCCCTTTGGATGCTTCAAAATGGCCATTTGCATCTTTCTTTCTATAATTGTGTTTTGTCTTTTTGAACCAGGATTTGGCCAAGTCAGTTCACTCTGAGCTTTAATTTCCTCATCTGTCAAGCAGTTGGACTAGATCAGGGCTAGCAATCTTCCTCTGTAAAGGGCCAGATAGTAAGTATTTTAGGCTTCTGGGCTATATGGTCTCATGGCAACTACTCACCTTTGCCATTGTAGTGTGAAAGCAGCCATACACAACACATAACCTAGTGAGCACAGCTATGTTGCAATATAACTTTCTTTACGGACCCTGAAATTCAAATTTCACGTAATTTTCACCTTTCATAAAATATTATTTTTCACCAACCAAACCAATAGCTACAAACTATTTCTAGCTTGCGGGGTATACAAAATCAGGCAGTGGGCTGGGTTTGGCCCCTGGACAGATGATTCTAAATTTCTTCCTTATTCTAAGTATCATGACATTTCAGAACTAAAAGGGGCCTTAGAAGCCATCACGTCCAGGCACCCTGTGTGCCACAGAAGGAAAAAGTGGCCCGGAAAGGCTAAGTGACTGACCCATGCTCACACAGGTGGCAGGTGAGTGGCATTTCAGGGTCATAGCATGAGTCTGTTGGCTCTCTGTCTGGGTCACCCCCACCACTGTGCATGGCCTCCAGCACTTAAATGTGTATGCTGGTATGCTGGGTTACGTTTATTAGCAGAATGAGATGTTTGTGTGTGTGTGTTGGGGGGAGATTGTCCCTGAGCTAACATCCATGCCAATCTTCCTCTATTTTGTATGTGGGACACCACCACAGCATGGCTTGATGAGTGGTGCATAGGTCTGTGCCTGGGATCCAAACCCATGAACCTTGGGCCACCAAATTGGAACACACGAACATAACCCCTATGCCAGTACGCTGGCCCCAGAATGAGATCATTTTTGAGAGCTACAAGTTTGGAGACCACTTTTACCTGGAAATGGCATTTTATGTATCCTTCTATTTAAGTAAAAGCAAGAGCATGAACATTTTATTTGAATGAATGTATAAACTACTCCCTGCCATAAAACACTAAAGAAGTTGTGTAGTATGTACTTTTTGGTGTTGTTGTGACTAAGGCCAAATTAGACAATGGCTTAAGTGAACTCAGAGCAACTTGCAGATATCCAACATTTATGACACTAGAACTAAAAAATAAGTAAAGTAAATGTACCTAGACCATTTTCTTGGGTGATTTGCACTGAAGTACTAAACAGAAGAATAGTCACACATATACACACACATGCAGAAGGAAGATTTTTGGTTTGTCCCCTCAGACTGGTAGAATTAGCACAAATAAGTTAAAAACTACCCCAGACAAGCTGTGCACAGGTCATGCTACTTCTACCTTCCAAGGAGCCCTGCAAAGTATTGGTGACAAAAGCCTTGTTTTTGCAGCAAGATTGAGTCAGTCACAGTGCAGCCAGCTTAAAATTTGAGGCACTGTTTTAAAGTCTATCAGTCCCCACCCCAAATGCCCAACTGGATCGACCAGGCAATGAGACAGGTCATCACAACAGCCTGCATTCTCCTTTCACTTTTTATCTGCTAAAAATGGAAAAGGGTTTTCTAGGGGTGTGTGTGCATGTATACGTGTGTCTCTGTGTGTGTGCACGCATGTGTTGGGGTGGGGACTGGGCAGCTGCTTTAAAAATTCACTGCTCTCCTTTGCCTTTTTGGTGACCAGGAAAGTCAGAAGCAGAAGTTGGGATAAGAAGGAATTTTATGAAAAACAGCCCCTAAGAACAGGTTTTAAGATGGTAGTGGAGGGAGGAGGAGGTGGACCGGAAAGAAAAGACTGTTCCAGCAATTCCCATCTGGAACTTGGTTTATACTTCCTGAATCCTCACACTATCTCTGCAGTTTCTTAACTTCCAGGAGAGTCTTTGCCTTAGCAGCCAACTCTCGCAAGTATGACTGGTGATCCAGAGAGAGAGAGACTGCGGCAAAGAGGGAGCTAAGAGATGCCTCGGGCAGCTTTTCAGGTGGCCCACATCCTTCCATAGTAACCGTGTTGTGGATCACAGGCTCACTCACCTTTCTGCTACCTTCCCTGAGCCCTTCTGCACTCATGCCTGGGAAGAAGAAGAATTGGAAGTCCCAGCAGAAGCTAGAATGATGCATGCTCAGGTCTCTACCAACCAGATATGAAGCTAACAACATAACATAGTCAGGCCTTGGTGATTGAAGGATTCAGCAAGATGCCCTGAAGCACCCAGCCAAGAGGCTAGGTCCACTCTCATATGTAGAACCTGATCTTGCAGGTGCTAAACCATATCTCCCTGTTCCCCAGACCTTTCAGGAGGTCAAGCCTTCATCTCAAAAGGAAAGGATGCCAGCTTTACACTTTGCAGGGTGGGAAATGAGTGGCTTAGCTTTTCCTCTAGGGTAAAGAGGCCCTGGGACTTGGTGATCATCTTGAATCTGGCAGCCTGCCTTCCCTGTTCCCTTAACCACACACACCACCCCGTCAGCACCTGGAAAGGAGCATCTGCCCACGCCCACTCAGTCACAAATTCTAGACTGTCTCACTTTCCGCACATCTGGCTCCGTTCTTGGGCATATTTGACTCCTATCCTCTCAGTGTTGTCTTCCTTTTCCCACCCGTTTCTAGATCTGCGGAACTTTATTCACGTTTGTTTATTCATTTATTATCTATTCCTGCCACTAATATTGGGTGCCACCATGTGCAGGCATTGTGCTGATGCTGGGGATATATGTGATGGAGAGCAAGATAAAGGAGATTCCTGTGTGCTTGGGACTGAAAGTTTAGCATTGAAGAAGACAGTCGAGAAATAATCCCCTAAGCACTTACATCCTTATCATGTGGTGAGTGTTATGAAGGACATTGGCTCACTAAATATTTATAAAGAACCTACTAGAGCCAGGCTGAGGGTACAATGGTGACCATAAAGAGACTCCCATCCTTATTTTTATGGAAAGCAGCCATTAATCAAACACTCACACTCATGAATGCTACAATTACAGTCTGAGTATGTAACAGGGGAATGTACAGTCCTGGGAGTCAGGGGTGGCTTCGAGGAGGAAATGGCGTTGAAGCAGAAAACTGAAGGGTGAGCTGGAGGTAATGAGGCCGAGCTAACTCCTTTGGCTTCTCTGCCATATACCCACTAGTGTGTGTGACCCCGGGAACACTTCCATGGACACAAATTCTGCACCTGCCTTCTGCCTGTACCTGGACTTGTCAGGGAACCACCCAGTCTAGTCCAAACCCTCCCCGGGACTACACCAGGACATCAGCCCACCTGGCCAGCATCCCTGGTGGTCCCTGACAGTGGGTAGCTGAATCGTGGACCATCTGACTGTTCCAGCTTTGCATACCACCTAGCACAGGGCCTGCATGTAGTAGCCACTCATTAAATATTAATATTTACTATAAAGTAAGTAATTTCCGTTTCTTTGATAACTAGCTCTGGTCCTGTATGAGTGGGCATCTCCCCTCACATTTTTCTCACATTCCTTTGCCCTCTGGGGAGAACTTATTGCCAACACGCCTCTATCTGCCTTAGCTAATTACTATCCATGAGCACAGGGCCAATAGCGAATTCATATTTTAGCCTCTGGGGTGGGTGTCCCATCACTTTGATGAACTTAAACCCGTAGCAGTCCATTCTTCCATGGCCTCTGTTGGTACAGGCTGGGAGATTAAGCTGAAGGAATATGTATGGCTTGATGGATGTCTAACAATAGGAAGCTCAGAGAGTGAGCGGGTACATGGGCGCATGGTTGCTCACTCAGGGCAGAGCTGGGAGCACAAGTCCTCATTCCCCATTCACCACTCCCTCTTCTCAGTTCCCACTGGCCTGAAGCATTGGCCAGGCTCAGAGAGCTAAGAACGTCCTGAACCCAGGAACACAAAGTTCTTGTTCCAGGTCTTCTCCTAGGCAGTCTTGGAGCAAGGCACTTAGTGACCTGTTGTACCTCACCTGGAAAGAAGAGTCACAGGACGGCCCAGAGCTGACCTCTCGCAGGGTGGAGGGGAATATTCGTTAAGATAATTTGGAGGCACTTAGCAAAGATGAAGTTCAGGGTCAGCGAGTAGTGTGGTTCCTAATGAAACCTTGGGAGCTTTCAGGAGGAGAGTTGTTGAGGAAGGGCGAGGTGCTCCAGCCAATGGACCAGGAGGAGCCGAGGGAGGGCAGTGCCTGGCCGGGAGCCGACCACCTGTGCTCATTGGCAGGCCATGGCCTAGCCTTTTCATCCATTTCATAGCTGTTGCATGGCAGTATTTCCGCAATGGGAACAGGCTGCAAGATCTGATTGTGCTTAAGTGGTCACCCAGTTCTCCTCTTTGGTTCTATTGAGAGACTGTAATTCATGCGCCCAGCCAGCAGGTAGGCGTCCCCTTTGATGTGAACAACCACTGCCTCCAACAGCCTTCTCTGTTCCCAATTCTTGAGCTGACTCCTTCCTTTCTTTTAGGCATATGATCTGTGATGACTCCAGGGCAACCCAGAAACTATCCAAACTGCTCAGGTGTAAGCTTTAGGAGGAAGAGGTTTTTTAAATAGTCTACATAAAATAGCCACATTTTAGAAATAAAATAGACAAAATTAGGGAAAACCACACATGATCCCATTAACCTAACACATTACTACTATTACCATTTTGGTGTATTTTTCCCCATCTTTCTCAAATGCATTTTTTTGCAATGCCATAATAATGTGCATTAAAATCAGTGTCCTATTTTGCTTTATGTTTCTATCTAGTCTTCCTAATAATCAATTTGAATGGCTAGACACTATTCATTGAAGAACTAGATCACATTTATCTTAATTGTCTCTTATGGCTTCACATTTTGTTGCATTCAGTTTTTCCTCTAGTGGAACGGCACTGGAAGGAACATTTTTTTACAAAATCCATGGTACAGTTGTAGAAAAGGGCCTGAGTCACGTGGCAGAGTAGCTCTCTGCGGAAGGCTGGCTTAAATCAAGGGTGCCTTCGGGGGTATCTGGACTGAGGCTAACTGCATGATCAATCAGGCAGTGCTCCTATCATAGATAACACTCTGTCCTCCACTCTGGATTCTCAAAGTCACTAGAAACCTCTCTCATTTCTCATCTCTAAAGCACTTGCTTCATGCTCTCTCCACTTCCTTAAACACGTGGAACATAGAAAGTGGCCACTCCTTGGCTCCCGGGTTCAAATCACCATTCGAGACATTTGCAGTTGAACCTCTGTCATTAATCCCTTGTCCAGATTCCAGGGAAAGGGAATCTGATGGCTCCATTTAGGCCTGGTATGTCTCTCCTCTCTTCTGAGACACATAGGCAGAGAGGGAATGTCATCTAGTACCCACTGGCGGCCTACCCCGTTACTATTACGGGTGATGTACCCCTGTCCCTATCCCAGGCTAGCCCCTCCAACTGTGCCCTGCATCCTGCTCCTTCTCACCCTCGCAAGGACTGACTCCTGTGACTATCCCCTCCCTCTCTAGCATCTCAATTTCTCCCATCATTCATGACATTTTGTTTGTTAGGAAACAAACATGTTCTAGTATCTTTCAACTTAAAACAACAAACCTCCCTTGGCCCCATGTCTTTCTCCATTTAACACCTAATCTCTCCACTCCTGTTGCCTGATAAAATTCTCCAAAGAATTATCTGTATTGCTATCTCCATTTTCTCATCTTCCATTTTCTTCTCAGTCCCTTCAATTGGATTTGTATCTTTTCAGTTCCACTAAAGTTGCTCTGGTTAAGGTCACCAAGACATCTCTCTTGGTTTGTCTCTATCCTCGTCTAAGCCAACCTTTCAGGAATATTCCCTACATTTGACCACTCCTTTCTTGAAACATTCTCTTCTCTTGGTTTGAGGATACCATATGTAGTAGATGCTCTGGTGTGCTATCCAGATTCCCTTGGCGGGGCCAAGAAGCTCCTTCTCTCAATTGTCAGGAGCATTGATGGTTGACATCTTGGGGCTCAGTCCATCTCCAGAAATTGCCCTTAGATGGGCAAACTGCCTTGCCCAAACTTATGCCCCTTCCCAGTGATAGGCCATGTGCAAGCATTGATTAATGTGAGGGTGCAAAGACCAGCCCCCCTGCCTCAATTTGGGAAAACTCTAAAGGACCATCCCAGCTCCAGAGCCCTCAGTTGGACTGGAGGGGCCGAGGCTTCTGTTGCAGCAGCATCACGTTTGAATTTCCCCCTCTGCCCACTCCTCTTTCCCTCACTTCCTTAAAGGTGCTATTCCTGAGATCTTCCCAAATCTCCATCTCAGAATTTGATTCCAGGGGACCTGACCTAGGATCACAAAGTCTCCTGGTTTTCCTCTTTCCTCATTTTCTGCCACCTGGATTTCTTACAAGTTCATTGCTGTGTGTCTTCATTCCTGATTTCTTTTCTGATTCAATGACTTTAAAATAACTCTTCTTCTCTCTTCCCCTCACTCCTTCTGTTCTCTCTTAAGCCTTCTTGTTGTCTATGTTTGTATTATCTAGTTGGTACACAGATGCTACATAAGAACTGGTAACAGTGGTCTCACTCTAACAGTTCTCCTTAGAAATAATCACATTTCACTATGGCCGTATTTGAGTTTTCTGAAATCTGTGGAAGAGAGAAATTTCAGGATGGATTTTATCCACTGGGTAAAATGAAATGAATGCAGCAGCAACTGAGACATTTACTCTTCATAATTAGTCAAGTAAATAGTATTTACCCATGGGCACACACCTGAGGACCTGATATACAAATCAAACCAGTGCTAGTGAAATTATGTACTTAGCTGCTATTTTGCTGTAAGTACATTTCATCCTTTCTCTTAATTCAGCTCTAAAATAAAAACTAACAAGATCAAAGGTTTGGATTTGCAACAGCTGTAAACTGTCCAGTGGGACAGAGGGAAATAGAATACCTTTTCACAAAGAGCTTCACGACCTGAGGCATCAAGAGGAAACTGGCCTCCGAGACTGTTGTACACAGGTGAGATCATCTAGAAGACCAGCATATCTGTTATATAGCACAGTGTTGACATCCTGCAGCATATTAAAAGTACATATGCAAACGATCTTGATCTCTTAGTTTTGCCACATGTCCGGTGGTTATATAAGGTGACAGCATGAAGAGAAGCTGGGTGAAGAGTACAGGGCGGCTCTGTACTAGCTTTGCAGCTTTTCTGTAAATCTAAAATTAAAAGTTTAAGTAATACACAGTTGAATATGACAGCCCAATTTGATTAGTAAGCTGTTGATAAGAAGTACCTCTGTGATGCTGAAATCAGGTATTTGGTGACTCCAGCCGATCAGAGCATAGCTATGAATACTGAAATCAGAGGAAAGGTCTTTGAGCAGCTAAAAGCTCCCATGAACTCATAGGAAAAGCAGAGCCATCCTCAGGCCCGCTCACAGTGGCTGCGCGTGAAGGGACTGAAAAGAGTGGAAGCTGCTGAGAAACACAGATGGCAGCCAGCAGTGCCAGAAAGAAAACCACCAGTAAATACACAGCTGGTTGGGGACATTTGGTGTAGGGGCGAACAGGATCACATACTGCAAGGAGTGTGACTGAATTATAATGCATTTCAATGGAGGGCATTCACAATGATGTTCTTGGATGACAAAGAAAGGTTGGAGTTATCTTTGGCTCAGGCAGGAAATGCTTCCTAGAAGTTTCTGTTCATCTCTGCTCACACACCCTCCACTCAGGTGGAAATATATTGCAAAAGTAAGAGCGGGGCTTCGGAGCTAACATCCCACACTATCCGACCTTGGGCAAATTCCTCCATCTCTGTGAGTCTTAGTTTCTCCGTTTATAAAAGGAAGACAATGATAGGTACCCTTCAAAGGATGCAGCAAAGATTCTGTATTAGAATCTTCATACACAGCAAATGCCTGACACTCAGTGGGTAACAAGGGTTCAGGGCGGTAAGGAACGCACTTCTGACTGTCTGGGATGTAGAGTCCTGCTGCTCAGATGCCGTCTCCAGCTGCAGCACTTCAGAGCTGCTTCTCCATTCTCTCTGAGCACAAGATGGTTGATATGGGTCAGGTCAATGACCTTCTTAGGTCCCAGTGATCACGGTAAACTTACAGGGTAAAGAGCAAGGAGATTAGAAGCTCTAGCACCTTTGTGGTCTTGGTTTGACTTTGTGTCATCTTCTTTCTTCATTCTTTCTCCCCCTTGAAGTTCCCAGGAGAGGACTGGGGCAGAGTTGATGGGTCTGGGCCTGCCATTGCCCTCCAGCTCCAAGATGGTAGTGGGTTACTCAGGCCGGGTCTGTTCTGAGCCTTAAGGAAAGTGCTCTTTCTGTAAATAGATTTTTTTTTGGATTAATCATTCCTGACCCTTTACACCATAAGAGTAATATGATCCAGAGGGCCAAGATCAGGGGCCAAGGAAGCCATTAGTCTGGTTTTAACTGAGGCCAGTTGGGCCTGCCCATTCTGGGAAAAGAATCCTCTCTGCTCCATGAGGTCCATCCTCATCCAGGACCATCAGGGCCAAAGGCTCCAGGTGGTCATTTGGGACCAGTGCCTGGAACAGAGTCTCACCTGCAGAGCTCCCTTAGAATCCTCGGCGTGGGCAGCAGGTGGAGGGTTCTTTCATGACTAACACAGTCCCTAGGACCCCTCCAATCTGCAGACATTACCTGACTCCCTAGAGGGATGATCTTTTGCCTGCTCTAACTTTTAGGACCAGCCCTTATCCTGGGTCTGGGCTGAGCCCTGGCTTATCAGTGCTCCAGTACTATCCTCTAAGCCTTGCCTTAAAGGACCTGGTCCCAGTGTCTCACTTTGTGTCTATGGTGCAATGCCCTGGCAAGAAATGTATATCCTTTGCCTTAGAAAGATATCTGTTCAAAATGGCTCAATAGACAAGGAATGATGCTCAAGGAAGAAAGTACCAGATATCATGAAAATTCATGCATGTGTATGTCTTATGGATCCAGACATAAATGAGCACACAGTCGGCAAGCATATTTTCCCTGAGTGTCCTTAAACAAGTTGGCAGTTTAGAAAACAGTACTGTTTGAGTTCAGCCTGTTCCTCTTGAAAGCACCCGTGTCTTTCGACCTCCCACTTTGCTACTGGTTTCATGAGTCCCTGCTTAGATGCCCTCCCTACCCACATTTCCCTACCTCCTTCTGGGACTTAGAACTGAGGAGACCAGACACTTCTCAGCATACTTAAAACCTATTCTCAGTTTCCAGGCTCTCATTTCTGATCACAAACGTACAGCATCTTTTCAGGTCAAAACAAATGATAATGATAACTCAAGATTTTGTTTGAACTGCATTTAAAAAGAAGGTAACACTCAAAACAAACCAAGCCATGAAGTTGGGAGCCTTGTTTCCTCTGGAACTGCTGACGTTCAGCTCATCCCCTTCCTCAGGAGGAGGGCACGGATGCTATTCTTTTACCTCCTTCCCTCTTCCCTGCCAGATCTATCCTTGTCAGTTCCCACAGGCATCTCCTCATTAGGTTAATGGCTTCCTCACCCCCATCAGCTCCTTTCATTTGCTCCTTTTCCATCAGGCTACCTTAGCAGTCTGACCCTCCCCTCCCCTCTGAGCACAGTTGCTGAGACCTTTGGCTTCCAAGGATCATCTGGCCAACACCCACCTAACCTTGATCAGTGGGCACCAGGGCAACTGGTCTGGAAGAGGTGAGTGGACAGATTTGTGTTTTACTCTCCATTAGACGCAAGTGTGGGTAATGGTGCAGGGAGATGGGAATTCTATTTCAGCCAAGCAGTGGGCAGTTGTCAGCACACATTAAAAAGGTGAACCCAACAAAAGGCTTTTGAACATCAAGCTGCACGTGTGGAAGATGAATCTATGGGAGAAGCTAACCAGAAACATAAAGAAATTATTTGTTTGTTGTTCTGAAGATGATTCAAAAAGGGCAAAGTGAGAGGACAGCATGTCTGTCTTTAGCATTCGTGTCTTCACCTTCCTGCACCCCTTTTTCTCTAGGTTTGGCTCTGGCTCAGTCCATCCTGCCTGCCAGAAAGCTGGCCCTGGAAGCTGATTCTCACTATGGGGACAGAGAAGCCCAAACACGTGGCAGTGTTTGAAACAGAAGAAGGGGCTACTAATGGAGACTTTAAAAGATCCTAAGCGTTTATTTGTTTGAATTAAATATGGACCAAGGAGATGGGGACAAGGCCTTGCCAGCCTACTTAATTATGCACGCTGGTCTTCCATGTGGCAGGCTGGCTCAGAGAAAGGGAACAGCTTAGACACATGTAGAGACATTCTGGGGTACCAAATCATCAGAGTGAGACTTTCTGAATCCTTACCCATTTTCATCTTATTTCCCCAATCATCAGATGTGTGGATGCTGAATAAAGGCAAGGCTCTAGTGCTGGGGAGACAAACATGGCTAAGGCACATCTCTGCCCCTGCAGGCAGCAGACATATGTGTTCATTTTTATGTGAAGACTTCCAGCAGGAAGAGCTCAAGACAGGAGAACTGCAGGAAGAGTAGAAAGGGGACAACCAGAGGAATAGGTATACAGGCGGATCCTCTGCTCCAAGCCCTCCCGAGCCTGGCTGGGGGGGTCAGGATCTGCCCGCCTGAGCCTCCAGGGCTACCCCAGGGTAGGAAGCTGGAGTCGGGTAGAGACCCAGTTGGTCTCCTCCTCTTTTCTCGGGGGAGCATCCTCTCAGGAAGGCCACTTTCCCACAAGCTTCTCTCATTTCACCCTGTGAATTCTTAGGCCTCCTGACCCCAAAGGCCTGCTGTGATTCTGCTGGGGCTAACTGACCCTCTCCTCGACATCTGAACTGAAGTTCTCTAGGAAGACACCAGGACATTTTTCGAGAATGTTCTATATGAAAGCTCAGTAAGATGGCAATTCCATCCTTCCAGTTGCCCAGGCTAAAAGCTTGGGGTCATCCTTGACTCCTCTCCTTCTTTCACATCCCACTTTTAATCCATTAGCAAATCATTTTGATTCTACCTCCAAAATATATACTGAATCTGACCACTTCTCTCCACAGATTTATTGCTCCCACCTTGACCAAGCCAGCATCACCCCTCACTTGGATTTTTGCAAAACCTCCCCCAGCTTCCGTTCTTGCCCTTCTAGAGTCTATTCTCAATACAGCTGTCAGAGTGCTCCTGTCCTCCAACGCTCCAAATGCTCCAGTGCCTTCCTGTCTCACTCAGAGTAGAAGCCACAGAGTCATGACTGGCCCAACCCAATCTCCCTGACTTATCTCCTACCACTCTTCCCCCATGGCCTCACTGGCCTCCCCGTTTCTTGAAGACATCCAGCACACTTCTGTCTCAAAAACTTTGCCCTTGCTCTTCCCTCAGGGTAAGATACTCTCCCTCAGAAGTGGATCCAGCTCCTTTCTCACTTCTTCATGCCTCTACTCCAATGGTGCCTAATCAGTGAGGCCTTCCCTCATCACCCCTCAACCCTGACCCTGCTTTCTTTTCTCTTTACCACTTATCATCATCTGACACATGTCTTTGTTGACTTGGTTTTGCTGATCTCACCTGGGAGAATGCTAGCTTGATGAAGTCAGAGACTTTGTCTACCTGATTTACTACCGTATCTCCAGGGCCACAGATAGGAGGTACTCAGGAAATATTTTTGAATGGCTAAGTGAATAGAAATTAATTGGGGCACTGGAAGGCTCAGTGAGGGGTGGCGGTAATCTAAATCTAGAACTCTGGTTTTCAAGCCTTCCTTATCCCTGGAATCCTTTCTTTAAGTGAAATAAAAGGTTGAAGGAGGAGGCAGAGTTGGGGGACTGGAGGTCCATTTATGGTTATCTCCTCCCGCTCCTCAAGGAAGGCCCCAACATACCTTGGCTGAACCTGCAGGCGTCTGAGGAGTGCAATTTGAAGATCAGTGATCTAGGAGATAATTTTAATATTGTGACCATTTGTAGTGGTTTAGAGGTTGTTTTGTGATTTGGCGATAATTTTGGGCACATATATGGGCTCTTTTAAGATGTTCTCTGATTAAATACCTTTACCTTAAAAGAAGGTCACCCTCCTTCTGAGAAAATAGAGTTTGCTTTGTAGCGATCAACTTTATGGTGCAGTTTTCTGGAACACTATGTGGTGAAAAGCAGGGACTTCTTATGATGGTATTTTGGCAAGGCGTCATTGAACTAGAGTCCAGGACAAATGTTTACACTTGACTTTTGGTGATAGGTGAAGAATAAGAAACCAAGGTATTCATTTTCCAACAAACTTTTATGAAGTGGCCGTCTTGTGCTAGGCGTCTCTAGGTGCCAGAGATTCAGTCGAGAACTAGACCAGATTTCTGCCCATGGAGCTTACATTTGAGAGGGCTAGGCAGCCAGAAAACACGAACACAGATAAATGAATTGTTTATTGTTAGATAGTGTGGAATGCTAAAAAGAGAATAAATTGACTGTGCCATAGAGAATGACTGGGGATTTCTCAAATAACCACAGATTTATTCACGAATCAATTGTCCAGAGAATTAATCAAGCTAATTTATGTATCTCTAGGCTGAACAGTAAAATTTCATGTTCAGAATGATTTGTCCAGAAGAGCTGAAAGATTAAATTATATCCCCTATACTCATTTTTAAGGAGGAAAAGAGAGGAAATAGAAGGGAGAGAGGAAGGAAGAAGGAAGGAAAGGATAAAACTATGTTCTAGAAAAACTTTTTGCAAGGTGGAAAAAATCCAATTAATCAAAGTTTGCCCCTCCCAAAGAATTCCAGCCAATCAAGGGCTCCAATTA